ACAAAAATCTCTTGCAGGATCCTCTCTTCAATTCATGCTTTCATTTTCTTCTACAATTTCTGATTTTTAAGAAAGTTAGGAATAGTTGTTTCCTCATTTAGATGCTAGAAATATGCTTATTATTTAGGGGCATTGAATTGAAAATCTATTTGTTTTGACTTAAATGAACCCAATTTTAATGTGGTGATACATAGAAAAATCAACCATATATTAAATTAAAAAGTGAAAGATTTTAATAGTGATTTGTAAATTCATAATTGATCTCAAATTCAACACATATAAGACTTTAGTCATTTCCCAAGAAAAATTTATGATAATAATATAATATGGTAGGGTTCATTTGTTTAATTATTTTTCACTATCATGTCCCCATCGTACCCAAACTACACATTTGTTTCCCTATTCTGAAAATCCTATTTTATTTATTGAATTATTTTAAACCTCCTAGGTTTGTGGATTTGACTAAACACCAAAAAAAAGTTTAGAAATTAACAAAAAAACCTCTACCTACCCATATTTGCCAAATTCTGGCCACCATCGTCGGCACGTGGCCGAAATCTGGTATAATGGTGCATTACCAGTTGGATCTGCCTGGTAATGAGCCGATCTAGTATTTTTTGATCAGATTTACAGTCAAAGATCGGGTCGTATCTTTGGCCGTAGCTAGTCGTCAACGATGGTCATATCTTTGGCTATTGTTGACCGCTAGATCTAGCTGTCAATGACCATATTTAACCATAAATCTAGCATTTTCTAGCCAGATCCACAGTGGATCTGGCTGAAAAATGTCATATCGGTGCGTGATCGGTCGGATCCAGTTGGTCGTGCACCAATACGACGACTTCGACCACCCTCTGGTGGTGGTGATCGACTATCGGTATTTAATGGGTGGGTGTGGGTGTTTTTGTTAATTTTTAATGTTTTATTACAAATGTGTTTAGTAAATTAACAAACCTAGGGAGTGTTTTTGTTAATTTTTAAATCTTACCTCGTTATTCCTACCCAACTCTTGCTTTTTCAAAAATATTATTCAAAATACTAAAACAAATAGACCCTCTGCTATTTTGGTCATAAAAAGTTATGCTTTCAACCATTCCCATCTATTAATTTATTGGGCCTCAAGTAGGCCCAAAATGAAATGAAGCGGCCCATAAGAAAAGTCGTAAAACCGATAAACCCTAAACCCATTACTATTAACCACCACGATCTTCATTGTTTAAAAAACTAGCAACAAAATGTTACTTAAAAAAAAAAAAAAAAGATGTTTGGATCAGTTTACACGTACCTCGATTATTTCTCAAGGGAGACTAGCATAACAATCCACTACTACGGTCCCCCACTTAAATCACAGATGTTCAGATAGGGAATCGAATCTGAGACTGTACGTCTATCTACACTATCTTCAGTTCACCTTAACCATTTGGACTATCAACTGATGGGTCACGAAATGTTACTCTTATGAGTGGTGTTATTCAAAACCCACTCAAACTCTTTGTAAGCCTCAAAATTGATTTAAAAAAATTATAATTAAACAGATTTTAATTTATTCCAAAATTATCCTTTTCCTAATCTTTTTAACCTACTTCCCTTCTTTCGTGAGAAACCAGAAAATAAATAATGGAATTTCATAAAAGAGAAATCATCATAATTTTACTCTCTTTTTTTTTTTTTCTTTATTATTATATTAGTTATTGGGAAGTTAACGAAAATTTTACTCAAATAAATTGGTGGTTTAGAAGCAATTATAAAAACTCCTAAAAACAAACAAAACCAAGTAATTGAAATGTTTTGCTTGAACCAAAAGTTCTTCATAAAGTAGATGAAACTAGAGAAAAGGGTTTTCGGAAAAATTGCTTGAAAATTCTACGAAATTTATTTAGTAATTAAATCGAAAAAGGAAAGAATATAATAAAATCAACTAATAATGGGACTCAAATAGTGTTTAGGTAGGGCTTAATTAACAACACTCTACTCTTATTAATTGAGCCATAATTGAACTTAAAGCCCATGAGATGAGATCCATTATGAAATTTCTCATACTGGCCCATAGAACTACTCTTGGCACAGCCCACAAGCCCAACTAATGCAACCCTTTTGCAGTCGAACTCTTGCGGCCCACTAATTGCTTTCCTCTCCTAAAAGCCTCACTGTTTGAGTCACTTGAACAATGTTAGAGATGAAAATAAAGTAGCAATTATTCAAATATTTTTGACCAATTATTAACTCTTTCATGCATGTTTCAAATGGCAGTGAATAGTCACAAAAACAACCTTTCGGTGGTCGGGTGGCCTGATAGGGACTCTTGGGTGTATTACTCAAGAGGCATTGAGTTCAATTCCTCTCAATTGTTAATAGGGGTGGTCACGAGAGAGTTTATTCGGTCATTAACTTTAGGGTCTCGAGGGATTAGTTGATGTGCGCACAAGCTGGCTTGGACACCTCCGAGGCTCCGATCACAGAAAAAAAAAAAAAAAAGAATAGTCACAAAAGGGAATGGGCCATCTTGGCCCACTTGCAACCTCAAAAACTTGACCCATCGCATCATCCCATTCACCAAACAGATTGAGCTAAAATCACAGCAATGGAGACTGGAGACAACACATGATGAATAAATATTGTGAGTGAGCAAGAAGACAAGAGAATGGAGTCCAAAAATGGGCCAAAAAGTCTAAGCCTTGATTAAAAATACATGGCCATGTTTACCTTTATATGAACCTAATTTTTTTCAGCGATTAACTTCAATCAGCTTCAGTGTTGTTGGCTCTTCACAATTATTGAAAAGAAGAAGAGACATGGGTGGCTGACATATCATTAACATTATCTAGTACAGTTTTAAGGAGATAAAAATATGGCCACTTAAATATTTTAAATTATTGAGCCTGGCCACAACCACATTTACTCTTATGTGACAATGTGACCATTTGAAAATGTCATCGTTTTCATTCATAATTTAGCTTTAAGTTCTTCTGCAAATTCATCTATCCAAGTCGTTTTGAGGTCAAATCAATCCGTTACTAGAACTTAACATCAACCATATTGATTGTTTGATACATGCAAAGTTAATAATTCATCATAATCTAGACGTTTGGCTCGTATAAGGTTATAGTCTTGCAAATAAACAAATTGTGTCAAATCATATCTATATGTAGGGTTGGGTATAAGTTTGGGTCGAGTAGAGAATGAAAACCCGAACTAAACCAAACACCAAGTATATGAACCCCAAGAGGTTGACCTGACGGTTAAGAAGATTTGCTCTCTTCCTTTAATTTATGGGTTCAAACCTTAGAACCACTTATCACAATAATATTTATAGCTTACCTGATCTTTTGAACTTATAGAGTGTTCAATGGATTCCGAGGATTAGTTAAGATGCATACAACCTAGTCCGAACACCTCAGTTATAAAAAAAAAAAAAAGTACATGAAGAACGGATTGAACCATGCCAAATTGGTCTCTCAGTCTCATCCTAAGCAAAAAACTCTAGGGCTAAAAAATGTTTAAAAACCATGAAAGAAAAGGCAGAGAGTGGTGGGTGAAAATGGTGCCTTCTCGAAAATGGGTTGGAGCTGCAAAAAATTCAGATTTTTGCAATGAGTTAATAGTCAACAATTGTAGACTGTACAGTATTACTATGACGAAACAGGACAATTAATTGTATTTTTTGGCGGAGGACCCCCCAAGAATCTAACAGTAACACAGACCCCCACCACTAAATTCCAACTCTGCTTCTGCCATCAACGTCACTTTTCATTTTCACCATGTGATATGTCTCTTTCCATTTCCAGATGACTCTTCACATCTGAGTTGGATTTTACTTGTACATTCTTATTAACCATCAGAAACTACTGCCATCTACTGTGTATTCAAACCCTTTTTCTGGTAAAACAACTGCAAGTTTTACCACTCTGCCACAAAAATTTGTAACCGTTTGTCTGATCTAGTAACTGGATTCGCATATTACTCTTAAGAGTAAAATTCTGTTGAACATTTGGCCAATATAAAAATTTTCCCACTTCAAGCAGTGAATCTAACCAGTATTTTCTCATTGTTATGAGGAACTTTGACCATAGGTAGATGTGTATAATAAATATATAAGTTGATGGTGTGGACAGAAGCTGTACAGATTCATAACAATGTGCAAGAAATAGGCAAAATCAGCACCTAACAGATATAATGCAACTGAGCCACTTAAGGACTGAGGAGACTGACTTAATGCATCATTCATCTCTTCTATGCCCCACTTTCTTTCTTGTGGAGCCGTATTCTCTTTACCAAAGACTCATCTCATGCCTTTGCTTCTCTCTTCTGCCATACTTTGCTTTACCATCATCTTTTTTCAATCCTCCTCACTGGCATTGCATCAATGAACTGTAATAAAGTGCTGGGGGCCTACTCTTCTTGGAGCCTTCTTAAATTTTCTTTTCACCTTTGTGACAGAACAAGTACACATTTTTGAAGCACCCTTTTAGTAAACATAATAATCGTTAATGTGATTATTGAAGAAGCTAGCTATTTTCCTTAACTAAAAAAAAAAAAAAAAAAATTCTTGAAAATGGAATTTGGATACATAGGAAAATCATCCCACTAACAAGAATTGGGAAAGTGCACTCAAAGATTGAACATTAGTTGGGCCCTGTTTAATGTGCACTCCATTTCTGCAACACATGCTTGAACTTTACATCTTATTAAAAGTTTCAATCATATCTTACTTTCCAATAATTCATTCCATTTGCTACAAATGAATATGTCTCCATTTTGCTCAAAAGATATTAGCCTTTTGTTTAATATATTTTTTCTTGGTGTTTTAACAATTGCTGGTCCATGTGAGGGTCTTCAAACCCAGATAAATTCAACACATGACCTTAGCTGAAACTTAAAGAGATTACTTTAGCAAGAGTCATGAGGGCTGGAAAGGTGTCATGTGGTATTTGCTTTTTGAGTATATAAAATTGCAGTTACTAAAGAGAACAGAAAGCCAACAAAGAACCTAACCAACCAGATAGATCAACAAGGATTACGCACCATAAGATATTAATAATATAACACAAGGCTACCCCATTGCAAATGGGATAGTATTTTTGAAGATATAGTCTCCACATTTCCATATCTACAACTATCTCATCATTCAAAAGAAAAATGGAAACATGAGGTTAATGGGACCCAAACATAATTACCACCAACAAGGCCATGTTGCTTCAATCAAAACACCTCTCATATGTGATGGTGCTGTAGTTGCAAGAGTCTAGAGTATGCACCCTCAGCTCGGCTAACCAATTCGGAGTGGCTACCTTGTTCTACAATCCGGCCATCTTGCACAACCGCGATGCAGTCCACACCTCTTATTGTGGATAAACGGTGAGCCACGAGCACCGTGGTTCGACCCCTCATTAGCCTCTCGAGTGCTTCTTGTAGCACACACTCGGATTCAGCATCAAGGGCACTCGTAGCCTCATCAAGCAACAGTATTGTTGGGTCCTTGAGAACAGCCCTAGCAATTGCTATCCTTTGTTTCTGACCCCCAGAAAGTTGAACCCCTCTCTCACCAACTGGTGTTTTGTATCCATCAGGCAATGCACTAACAAATCCATGGACATTAGCTGCACGAGCAGCCTCAATAACTTCAGCTTCAGTTGCTCCTTCTTTTCCATATGCAATGTTGTCAAAAATGCTTGCAGCAAAAAGGGCTGGCTCTTGTTGCACCAATCCAATTTTAAGTCTAAGTGACTTCAAGTTCAATCGACGAATATCCTTTCCATCAATCATAACTTTCCCAACTATTGGATCATAGAAACGCTCGATCAATGCAATCACAGAACTTTTACCAGACCCACTGGCACCCACAAGAGCTTGGCTCTGACCGGCTCGGATTCTAAGGTTAAAGTCTTTGAAAACAATAATATCAGGTCGTGATGGATACGCAAAATCAACATGTCTAAGTTCAATCTCTCCGCGAATGGATTCTACAGGCTCGGCATCAGGATCATCAGGGTCAATCCTAGTAGAGCGGTCCAAAATAGAAAACACTGAACCAACGGCCTCACCACCCCTAATAATCTCTGGCGCAAGACTAACAGTTTCCGCAACTGAATTAGCTGTGATGACCAGGACTACAAAAACCTTGATAACCTTAGAAAATGTTGATACACCTTTGCTAACGAGGTGGGCACCATACCATAAAATTAGAGCTTCGGAGGCATAAAGAGCAAGCTGAGAAAGGCCAAAGAGAATGCCAGAGCTCTGGCTACGGCTCAGGCTTTGTAGTTGTGGCACACGGAGCTCATGACAAAACAAGGAGAGGATCTTGTTCTGAGCATTAAATGCCGCAACAGTTCGGATATTGCTCACTCCCTCACCAGCAATCATGCTGGTCTTTGCATGAGCCTTGGCAGTGTCTCCAGCAAACCCTTTGAGAGAGAGTTGCTGCATAATAATAATAATAAAAAAATAAAATAAAATAACAGAATTAACTAGCTGTCCCAAAACTACGACTGTCATTTTACCACATTCAAATTAATTCCAACTTAATTATAGCTGATTATGAATCACTAAGAGCAAACATGTTATTATCTTTTGATTCGGATAATTTAGTTACGTAGCTAACAGGAACAACTGGACACCTCAATGTGAAAATGGACCCTAATGAATAGTGCCAAACCAAAGTAACTTTAATATAATGGGCCAAAAAATAGTATTCCTCCAACAAGAACAGGTAGGTGAATAGGACATTTACATTTTAGCAGGTAGTCTCAAAGACATGAAGTCTCTTTTCACTATGTATAAGCATGCGCAAATTGAGAAACACTGGTCCATTAAAAACTAACAATGAACATGGACACAGGTACTTCGCTTTAAAAAAGAAACCCAGATCCTGCAAGTCCCCAAGAACCCATAAATGGAAGCCTAAACACAATAATGCCAAAAGGGTTTTGTATGCAAACATGAGCACCCTGCGCAAGTTAGCAGCTTCCACCAACTTTACAAGCCCCTCTCTCTCTTTCTCACTCACTCACTCACTCACTTATATTCACTGCCATGCCATTAAAGACTGTCACACTCTGACACCCATATTAAAAAAAAATTTCAAATGAACAAAGAAAAAAATTTGAAAAAAATGTAGATGAATTATGTAAGTATAATAATATCAGAAATAATGTGATCACGGGCCAAGAATCTCTCGAGACTGACAAAAATGGTGGCATCTAGCTCTAGAATAGAGAGAGAGAGAGAGCTCATGTACCTAGGAAAAGAAAAAAAAATAAAACAAAAGACCTTTCACTTGGGTGACTAAAATAAAATTCTGACACATACAGAACTGATATACACAGGCTAGTGCAGTGTCGGTGCCTGGTAAAAATCTAAGAGCTAAAAAAAAGGAAACTGTGAGAGAAACTAGACAAGTTGAAATGTTGACTAGCATATGAAAAGAAAAGAAAAAACAGAGTCATAGCTTCGAGGAATAAGCTAAACATGAACCCATTTTGAAGTTGATGGAATCTTGACTATTTAATATGATTTCTCTTATAATAATGTGAAAATTATTTAGAAGCTTATATTATATCAGGGTTTATGTGGGATTTTTTAGAAGTTAATGCACCTGACTTGGAGGAACCACGTGCAACACACTATTGTTTAGCCACATATGTTTTGCTCTTGGCGTTTTGTAGAAAGATGTAGTGAAGTTATTAGATTCTCGAGATCAAAATTAGAATTACCTATGTACCCTTTTGAAGTTTGGTTCAAACCCATCTGATAAATGTCAATATTTATTTGAGTAACATATTGAGTGGTTAAGAGTGAGCTTACTTGAGCAAAGTTGGCAAGGACGAGAAGAGGGAAGGTGGCTAGAATGAGAAGTGAGACTCTCCATTCCACTATGAAGGCCACTATGAAAGAAGTGAGTAGTGAAGTCATGTTCTGGAGTATGACTGAAATTCTTTCGGCAATTGCCGATTTGACGTCAGCGGCATCAGTTGATAATCGAGCAGCAACTAGGCTTGAGTTGTGCTCTTCCTCATCGAACCATCCGACTTCATTCCTTAGGATTGCTGGAGAAAAGTGAATACCATAAGAATCATGAATGGTGAAAATATACATTTAACAATGAGAAAAAAAGTAGAGATAAAATACCTGCAAGCATCATTCTCCTCACCCTTGTGGTGAGGTTCTCTCCCATGATACTGAAGAAGTAATGCTGTATCAAATATGCAACAACAGCATAAAGACCAGCACCAATGTAAATAAAGACATACTCCTTAGTCTTCCTTTCCATGGCTGCAGGATTTCTATAGTAGAAAACTTCAATCATATTGCTCATCACGATAGCAAAAGTTGGACCGATGAAACCAGATAGGACGGACCCTATGGCACCCATTATTGAATATGGCCATTCGGGAGCATTTAGCTTGAGGAGGCGGAAGAAGTAGCCATCAGGGGCTGGGTTTTTGCGGTCAGTTTCAGCGTTTGAGACCATCTCTATCCGGCCATCAGCACCAGTACTGTAGGAATAGCTCAAGTTCCTTAAGCTGCCAGAGCGGAGGCTTAGGGACTTTGTGGACAATGAATGGCTTAGACGTGATGAACGTGAACGGCGAGTTGATGGGTTTGCAAAGTCTCTATTCCTCACCATTTCTTGGAATCTGATTAATGAAGCATAGGCCCCAGCCTTAGAAATCAATTCTTCATGTGTTCCTGTCTCGACTACCAGTCCTTGTTGTATAACTGCAATTGTATCAACATTTCTAATGGTGGAGAGGCGATGGGCAACAACCACAGTTGTTCTTCCCACCATGAGACGATCTAGTGCTTCTTGGACAATGCTCTCTGAGCTTGCATCAAGAGCACTAGTTGCTTCATCAAGGAGAAGGATCTTGGGATTTTTCAACATCGCTCTGGCGATTGCAATTCTCTGTTTCTGGCCACCAGAAAGCTGCACTCCACGCTCTCCCACCTGGTTTTGGATAAAAATGAAATAATATCAACATTTAAACACACACCATCAGGAATATGAGGTGGGAATGAAAAAGAGAAATGAAGATTTTGAGTATGTGATTGTAAAAATCAAATTTAAACAAATTTGGCTTATATGTACCAACCTGAGTGTTATACCCATTAGGAAGCAAGGTGATAAAGCTATGCGCATTTGCAGCAGAAGCAGCAGCTTCAACTTCAGCCATTGTTGCATCAGGTTTTCCATAGAGTATGTTCTCAAGTATGGTGGTTGCAAAGAGTGCAGGTTCTTGGTTCACGAGACCAATCTGATCACGTAACCATCTCAGTTGAAGTGTTTTAATGTCCACGTTATCCAGCAAAACTTGCCCTGCTCACCAAGAACACATTATTTCAACCATCCATTAAAGGTCATAGAAACTCCAATCTTTTAACAGGGTTAAAGTTTCTAATTTACCCTGATTAGGATCATAGAATCTTTCTATTAAAGAGACAACAGTGCTTTTTCCTGACCCACTGCCACCAACAACTGCAACAGTCTTTCCTGCAGGAAAGAAAATTGAGAAATTCCTGAAGATGATGACATCTGGCCTTGATGGATAGCTGAAAGTTACATCTTTGAATTCTATATTGCCATTAACCTCCGACAAGCATTTTCCATCCGTAGGGTCCTGAATAATGGATGGCTTTTGCTTGATGATTTCCATCAATTTGTAACCGGCTGCTTTACCTTTGCTAAATGCTCCAAGATTTGAAAATGACTGACCCAAACTCCTGCAAAACCCAAACATTACATCATAATTAAGAGTAAGCGTAAAGATCTGCAATAACAAAAATGAGAAACTCCAGACTTGAAATCTTACATGCCACCAACAATGGCAGAGAAAATTGCAGTGAATGCCTTCCCTCCATCACTCTGTCCATTCCGGATAAAAACACCGGCATACCAGAAAACAAGAGCCCATGACATGCAAGCAATTCCATATGTACATCCCAGACCAAGACCTTTGGCCATACCAGCCTTATATCCGAGTTTCAATGTGTTCTGTATTGCATCTGAGTAGGAATTAAGGGCCTTGCCTTCACCAACAAAAGAGTACACTGTCCGAACTTGTGCAATGGCCTAAGCAAATACAAAAAGATTTAGATAGCTAAAGTGTAATAAAAACTAGCATAAAAAATGCAGGCATAAAATCTTAACAAGAGGCAATGAATGCATTTTCTGGATCATAAAATAAATGAAATCCATGAGAAAAATGTCTTACATCATTATTTCTAAACGATTTTGACCACAGTTGACAAAAATCAAAATCCAAGTTTTGGCAGTATGAAATTCATAAAGTTAAGAAAAAGTAAACAACTCCTTTTAATGATGCACATTGAAAACATCATTGGGACGCCGCTTCAAGTTACCATGCTTAAAAAGCAGCAAACAGATTAATATAACAACACTTTGCAGAATAAACAAATACGTTTTCAAAACCAAAACGCGCATATTATACACAATTCTAAGTACTGTCACAGAATTTTAGTATAATAAAGCTCACCTGCTCGGCAATTATGCCGGCATTCGCATACGATTCCCGGCTCTTGGATGTGAGGCCAGTGAGAGTATATGCATATAAGCCTCCAGCAAAAGCAATACCAGGAATGACCGCCACACTCAGCAGTGCTAGCCTCCATGCTGATACAAAACCAACCACCAACCCCGCCAGAAATGTTGACAAATAATGAATAAAATTCCCCACCTGAAAAGAAAAAAAAAAAAAAAAGTTCAATCTCTATCCCGTTTACAAGAAGAACCAAACTTAACTCCTACACTTAATGGATGCAATTAAGAACCCAAAATCAGAAAAAGTCCTACACACACAAAGCCTGGCGCACGTTTAACTCATAATATGCTAACGTACGCCCACAAAAATGAAAGAAAATGTCTTTATCTTAAGGGACCCGCATTAATGAACCATCAACAACCCAGATGAGGATTTTGCAAATTTATCACTACCCTTTTCAAGATTTGGTCCCATAACTTACAATACAGTACACAAACCAAAAAAAAAAAAAGACTGTTAAATTAAATTATACCTTCTCACTAATGGCATCTTGAACAAGAAGAGTGTCTGTTGAAACACTGAAGACAATATCACCAGTTCTTGCATCGGTGTCAAAGAACCCCACATCTTGTTTCAACACAGCCTCCAAATACTTCTTTCTCAGTGTGCTTACTTGTCTCTCTCCAGTGTACATCCAACATGCAATTTCTGATCAAAATTTCATACCACCACAAGATTATGATAACGGAATAACAATGATAGAAAGTGATGTGTGTTTGTGAATTAACTTAAGCGTTTGTTTAATCAGAATGCGGAATTTAGAGGATTAGAAAAAGATGTTAATAAAAGACAAAAGCGGTTGACGAACCACGTGGATTCTCACACCAAGTTTGAGCCATGGTGCAACAACTTTTATTGATCAAATTAGAAGAAAAAAAAAAAAGTTAACTTACCTGCATAAGACGATAAGCACACAACGAGGCCAAGGTACACAAAGTAAAGTGCATACTGAAATAAAGAAGAAGAAGAAGAAAATCAGATCTTGATCTGAAAAGATGAAGAAAATTTGAGTTTTGTGAGTAAATTTTATACCTTGGAGACTTCATGAGTCATTTTGTGTAAGTCCATTTGGTTTTTGCCAAAGCCATTGACCATTTCACCAAAGAGGAGAAAGAAAACAGGCATGGAAGAGCCATGAATAATAGCTCCTAAGCTTCCAAGGATCATCAAAAACCAATCATACTTGTCTGCAAATGAGAAAAGCTGATAAAATGGCAAGCTTTGCTCTTTCTTTTTCTCAGCTTCAGGTGGCAATGACTTGGAAGCCTCAGTGGTCTCAGCCATTACAACAACAGCTTAACAAAAGAAAACACCAAGTGGGTAGTGAGTGAGGGAGTTGAGTTAGTTAGTAGATTAATGAAAGATCTGAACTGATTCAAGCATTGAAAATGAAAGATCTAACAACCACCCTTTTGCTCTCTCTCTTTCAACTCCACTCCAAAGAAAGAAAATAAAAGAGAGAGTTTATGTATAGAAACTAGAAAGAAACTGAGTGTATATATAGAAAAAGAAAGTGAAGAGACAGAGAATTTAGACCAGTGGTCAAAGTTAAAGGAGAAAAATTTGAGTACTTGAAGAGAGAACTGGGGTGGTGTGAGGAGTTTTATAATGGTGGTGGTGGGCGTACACAGTTCACTATGAATTTGATGGGTTGTAATAACTATTATTTTCATTAGTTTTATTTTATTTTTTCTATCCACATTAACTGGAATCTGGTTTACTGTGCAGTGCTCTGCTTGTATTCTCTAGACTTTTGTGCCCTTTTTCAATATATATTATATATTTTCGAATCATTACATTAAGGTCCCTGAACTTTAGCTAAAATCATCATAAAAGTTCTTACTAATTGAAAGGGTTAATTTAAATATATCATGTGTGAAATAGTATAATGTTTAAAAATAATTGTTCTTGTAGTAAGCTTTGGGAAAATGCAAAGTTAGAAGGCTTCAAGGTCATAATATTAAGGATCTTAATGCTATTTTTTAAGGTATATGGACTTTTGTGGCCATAGATTAAAGGTTAGGAATACATAGAATAATCCTTTTTAATTTTATATTATAATTAAAGCAAGAACTTAAAAACAAAAATCTGCCACTGATTTGATGTTCTTTAATGAGATTTTTATGCTAATAATTGTTGGTAATTTAGTTTATGTTTAAAGATTTAGGGGTTAATTTAAGTTTAGGAAATTATTTCTAATATTGGTCTTTCTTTTTATAATTTGCATGTATGATAATGTAATTTTACTTAATGATGCCATAATTTCCAAATTCCTAATTGGGAGTTATTTTGCATTAATTTTCTTAATTAATTTCATGAATTTGATATTCTCTATTAGTTTTAAGCCAATTGGCAAATTGTAGAGCCATCCACTTTGTGACATTGCATGTGTTTTTTTCAGCATCTTTTCTAAATTTGGGCTAACTTGTTCCATTAGCACCAACTTTCTCTTTTGTTTTCTTCCTAACATTTTGAGATAATCTCCATATAAATAATAAAAAATAAATAAAAATACATGACTATCATGAATCTTCACTTTAATTTTCAAAATGAAATAAAGAAAGAAAGAAAAAAGCCCACATGAAGATTATCTCATGTGACCTACCCTTAGGTAGTTTCAGTGATAGAGCAAGCGTTAGAATGTATGGTTAAGACACACGGTTTCAGGTTCGAATTCTCCTGACTCTCAAGATTTAAATAAGTATGACGATGAGATATTGTGCTAGTAACTTATTCGGATTAGTCGAGATGTGCACAAGCTAACTCAAACACCTTACTTCAAAAAAAGGAAAAAAGAAAACAGACTATCTCCTGTGACATTTTACGTAATCCTTGGTGTTTCAAAACTTTATTACAATGATAGTTTCCTGAAAAACCTAAGAGACCCAATTAAAAAGTTACGATAAATTAATAGGTCCCATTTTTCTATTCAAAACCCATAAAAGTTTTTTAGAAATAGAACTTACCCATAAATGATAATTCTCTAAGTTTTGACCACTCTCTTTTTGCCCCCCAATGTTTTAAAAAAAAAATACTTGCAATTATAAAAGGTATAGTCACACTTAAACATTGTACTCATTTCATCAAAATTATGGCCAAAATAGTGCCTTAACAACCCCATAATTTGTATTAAATGACAGATTCATGTAAAGGAAAGGGTTTTGTATGAAAAGATTTGGTGATGTGAAACCCATTTGACAATTGAAAACTTACCAAATTAGAAGAAACACAGGGTGGTAGCCTGGTAGGTTTCCTATCACCTCAAATTGTATCTTCCTTTTTTGTGCAAACCCTCTCAATTAGAAATTGTGACCTAAATCCCCACCTATATGACTAAACATAAGCCTCCAAAAAATATACTCACTAAACTTATCAATCTTCAAGTCACATCCAGGGGGGGCAATCATTTGGTTCATTGATTCAATCATGTTTTTTTTTGAAGATGAAAAGATCTGGAGTTCATGTTTCTGGGCCTTTCCCTTTTTGAAAATTTGAAGTTGGGTCTAGTGTGGGTTAGCTTAAGGCTATATGGTTTTAGCTTGAGGCCCAAATTCTAAACACTATAGCTCAAGATTTAGTGATTGCCTTCAATAATTATGTTAAGGTATAATTGTAATGGCTATAATTGTATGAGCACTAAATACCAAGAGTAGTTGCCATGAAAAAAAAGGGAAAAAGAAATATAACATAATTGTGTTCTGAATTTGTATGCTATAAGTTCATGATTGTAATTCTTAAATTTGACCCAAATAGATGAGTGAAAAAAAAAAAAAAAAGGAAAAATAAGAAAAGGATTTTTTTTTTTTTTAGAGATTTATATCATCATTTCGACATCAAAATTATTAAATTAATTGATTTTTTTTTTTTTTTTACTTTATTAGTTATAAAGTAATAGCAACATAGTAATGGGTTAAAATACATGAAGACAATTAGGTTTGTTTTGTTTCCATATTTTAACTCACATTTCAATAAAATTATCAAATATTATTAATAAAATATATATAACATTAAATTAATCTTATTACTAAAATAATCTATCTTGTTTTCTTTCTCAAAATAAAAAATAGATTATCTTAATCTTTACTAGTTGTCTAATAGACTACAATACAAGAAGCTTTGACTAGCATCTTCTAGGAAATGGTGTTACCAAATCCATCAACTTAATTATCTTTTTTTTTTTTTTAATAATTAGAGTGTTTAGTCAGTTTGTACGTACTTCAACTAATCTCTAATATCCATTGAACACTTTATAAGCCCAATCTCGAGGTTTATTGAACACCTTACAATTCCAATAAGTCAAGTAAGTCATAAATGTGGTAAGTGATCACTTTGTCGGACTCAAATACAAGACTTCTAAGTAACCCACCCAGATGGTTAGAAAGTCTTGTCATTCGACCAAAAGCTTAGTAGTTAACTTAATTAACTCTTGATGTCCAAAGACAGAACATTTTATTATCGTAATTAACTTACTAATCATCCATTAGAAAGAATTAATTAACTAATTAATCATAAAATTAGCAAGATGCTTGCTGCTGAAAAGTCATATCAAGGTCACAGATTGGAGGAAAATGGTCTGCCCATACATTAACACTCATTGTGTACTTGTATAAGGCATTTGGCCCCAAATAGTTCTAAAGTTAGGGTAAAATAAAATGCAAAAAAAATTAGTGATTGTATAATAAAACAAAGCAAGCTTAGTTGTTTAAGAGCCCAAAGGATTTATAAATGAAGTGGCTTTGGTTGTGTTGTTGGGTCTTTTGGAAACATTAGATCTGTTTTTATAAAGTGTTTTTATTTAGAGTAATGACATTTAACCCCCTAAGATTTAATTAACTGACAAAAATCCTCTTAATATTTATAAAATAACAAAAAATTCTCTATCACTATTGAATAATGAGCTGTTAGAGCTTACACAATTACAATCTTACCCATTCATGGGTTGCCCAGATGGTTAGGACGAATTTTGGATAGTATGAATATGTGCACGTTCTTAGGTTTGATTCTCTATCTAAGCATCAGTAATTTTAGTGGGGGTCATAGTGGTGAGTTGTTATGCTAGTTTCCTAGGATGATTAGTCGAGGTAAACGTAAACTGACATAGATACCTTAGTTATAAAAAAAAAAAAAAAGTTAATAAATCTTTACTTAATTGTCCTCCTATCGTTATTTTAATACCTAAAACTTAATGATACAGAGATTTTTGTTATTCGATCAAACTAAGGGGATATTTGTCATTAACCCATTTATTTAATCAACCTATGTATGTACTTAGCCATGTATAGGCATGTTACATTGATTCTAAACAATTAATTTTAATGTAGTTTAATTAGCTAGTCTAACTTTTGGTTGTTAATAAGTTATTGTCCTCTTTTGATCAAGAATGGTTAATTAAGGAACAACTAATGGGATTAAACAATAATTAAAGGTGAAGCCAGGGGTGCAATGGGCCAGAATTTTGGGGCAGTCAAGGGGGGGTGAGCTCAAGGTCTAAAGTAATGGACCACAATTTGGGGTTGTGGGTTCTTTTAATTGATGCTAATTAAGGGTTAATTAATTAGATTAAAAATAAGATAATTAATAAAAGAAATGAAATTAATTAAATTTGATTGGGTTTGTGCATTCTTACCTAACCCATAATCATTTGATTGATAATATACAGCTTGACATGAAGATGAAGATCCGTAAGCTAATTAAGCTGCCTACGCACACCTCTCCTTTAAACATGCAATCATATTTACTTAATTATTGTTTGCTTTATTTTTGTGTGTCGGGGAGCTTTTGTACTATTATCTTTTAATTTTTAAAATTAAGCTTTTAATGTTCTATCTATAATTTTAATATTAAAGTATAAAGATAAAGTTACTCGTCACTCTTTTAAGTGATTTATTAGGTTTACTTACTTTTGGATAACTCAAATGATAAAACGAGTATTGAGATGTGTGGTTAAGATATACAATCTCAAGTTGAAACTTTGAATCTCAAGAGTTAAGTGAGTGATCATGACGGTATGATGTCGTACTAATCATCTATATTATTAGTCGAGATATACACAAACTGATTGGACCACTTGTTTTAAAAAAAAAAAAAGAGTTATTAGGTTTTTCGAATCACCTTAAACCATAATAAAAAAATCAAATCAAATAAAAAATTAACATTTGATCATGTCACCATTTGAGTAAGTTCGTAGGATAGTAGAATAAAATTATCTTATAGTATAGTCTTCTAAACTTTACAATAAATAGTATTTTTCTTTCTTTCTTTTTAAATAGAGATAAAGTTGTAAA